GATCATCCTGGGATGATGTAGACAACATCACTCTGGTGATCATCCTGGGATGATGTAGACAACATCACTCTGGTGATCATCCTGGGATGATGTAGACAACACACTCTGGTGATCTCTGATATGTAACAACATCACTCTGGGATCATCCTGGGATGATGTAGACAACACTCTGGTCATCATCCTGGGATGATGTAGACAACATCACTCTGGTGATCATCCTGGGATGATGTAGACAACATCACTCTGGTGATCATCCTGGGATGATGTAGACAACATCACTCTGTGACATCCTGGAGATAACACATCACTCTGGTGATCATCCTGGGATGATGTAGACAACACTCTGGTGATCATCCTGGGATGATGTAGACAACATCACTCTGGTGATCATCCTGGGATGATGTAGACAACACTCTGGTGATCATCCTGGGATGATGTAGGCAACATCACTCTGGGGATCATCCTGGGATGATGTAGACAACACTCTGGTGATCATCCTGGGATGATGAACATTAAAATGGTATGAAATACCGACAGATTGTTAGGTAAGACACATATGCAACAGTTAGGTATCTTTATTTCGAAACGTTTCGCCTACACAGTAGGCTTCTTCAGTCGAGTACAGAAAGGTTGATAGAAGCAGAAGATACTTGAAGACGATGTAATCAGTCCATCACCCTTAAAGTTTTGAGGTGGTCAGTCCCTCAGTCTGGAGAAGAGCATTGTTCCGTTGTCTGAAACAATATGAAGTTGAAGTGACAGAATGGGGCCTTTATATAGTGCCAGGAGGTGAGACGTAGGTTGCTTTGGGAGGGCAGGTCCTTCTCAAACCCAGCCGTTCTCACTAGTAGAGGTTGTCGAAGTGGTCTGTACCAAGATACCCTTGTGTTGCAGTGTCTGACAGAATGAACATTAAAATGGTATGAAATACCGACAGATTGTTAGGTAAGACACATATGCAACAGTTAGGTATCTTTATTTCGATGGTATTTCATACCATTTTAATGTTCATTCTGTCAGACACTGCAACACAAGGGTATCTTGGTACAGACCACTTCACCTTCGACCCCTTTATAACCTTTTCTGTCCCCCCCCCTGAATAAAACCTACTGTGTAGCGAAACGTTTCAAATGATACCAAAACTTTGTAGGCTTATAAAAAATCTGTCGGTATTTTCATACCTTTTGTTCATAAGGGGTGTACCAAGTTTCTAATACCCCAGGATGTCCCCAAGTGTTTTTCCTATTTCATCCCGGGATGACACCGAGTGTTGCTACATCACCCCGGGATGATCCCAGATGATGTTGCTACATCCCCCAGGATATCCCAAGTTTTTTACATCTCCAATGATCCCCAGATGATTTTGTTTTCTCACCCAGGAGTCCCCAGAGTGTTGTCTACCACCCCCAGGATATCACCAGAGTGATGTTGTCTACATCATCCCAGGATGATCCCCAATGAGTTGTTAATCATCCCAGGTGATCCCAGATTTTGTTGTCTACTCATCCGGATGATCCCCAGAGTGATGTTTTTAATCACCCCGGGAGATACCAGAGTGTGTTCTACATCACCCGGATACACCGAGTGTTTGTTACTCATCCCGGGATGATCCCAAGTGATGTTGTCTACATCATCCCGGGATGTCACCAAGTGATGTTTCTACTCACCCCAATGATCACCGAGGATGTTGCTTATCATCCTGGGTTTTGGAAAACCGCTTGATTTAAGAGTTTTTACAGAGAGAAGGACGATTTTCTCTCTCTTAATATAAAATCACAGTAACCCATTTTTTCATGTATTTCACTTATTTTTCTTATCAATTATCTAATAGTGTCTCATGTTCGCTAGTATCTTCTTCTAATCACTTATCTAATATGTCTCATGTATCGCTTGTACTTACTGTTCTGCAGTATCCACGTATCTGCTAGTATCTTACGTATCGCTAGTATCTCACTGTACTGCAAGTATTCACGTTCTGCTAGTATCTCACGTATTGCTGTACTCACGTATTGCTATATCTCACTACTGCTAGTTCTCACTTATCTGCAAGATCTCACTGTTCTGCTAGTTCTCACGTATCTGCTAGTATCTCAGTTTTCTATTTTCCCACGATCGGCTATATTCACTCTATTGCTATATCTCACGTATCTGCAGTATCTCACGTATCTGTATTTCCCCCTCCTGTATCGCTATATCTCACTGTACTGCTGTTCTCACGTATTGCTGTATCTCATAAAATCTTAGTATCCCCTGTTCCTGCTAGTGCTTATTTATCTTTTGTATCTCACTGTACTGCTAGTATGCATGTACTGCTGTATAACTGTACTGCTATACCCCTGTGTCTGTTATATCTCACTGTTTGCTATATCTAAATTTATCTAGTCTCTCACGAGCTGCTATATCACTTTTATTGTATATATCCTGTATCTGCTAGTATACCTGATCTGCTATTTATTACTGTATTTGGTATGTTTTACGATCACTAGTATTCACTGTATTGTTAGTATCTCACTGTAGCTGCTGTACACACTTTTTGCTAGTTCTCCTGTATTTAGTATTCACTGTATCTGCTTATTCACGTACGCTAGTATCTCCTGTATGCTATCTCTCACTGTAGTGCTAGTACTTTACTTTATTGCAGTATTCCTGTAGCTGCTAGATCTCACTGAGCTGCTATATCCCTTTTCTGAAGTACTCCTGTACCGCTTACACACTGTATCTGCTAGGTCTTATTTTATCTACTGTATCTCGTACTGCTAGTACCACTGTATCTGCTAGATCTCACTGTACTGCAGATCAATGTATTGCTGTGTCTTACTGTATCTACTAGTATTCATGTAGCTTTTATCACTCGTATTGCTGTATGTCACTGCAGTGTAGTGCTCACTGTACCCTGTACAACTTTTTTTTCCTTTGTTTTCCTGACAGCTACAAAACACTGCCTTCGTTACTGCGAGGTGTCTCCTATAGGGATAACTTCTTTAAATTTTAAAACACGTGGGAGAATTTAGTTTTTTTGGGGAGTTATCAAAATTTTCTAATTTTTCCAAAATTAAT